CATTATGCATCAAGGATTAAATTTTCTTAAGAATGCTCAACTGCAATAAATAGTGGTTAAAATGAAAGTGGACTGCTATATAAGGGAGTAAAGTTAAATCACAACTGGTAATTATTGATAAATAGACTCAATGAAGAGGACAAAATTTTAGAAGAAATAGAATAAGAGCTGGATAAAAAATTAAATGATTTCGTAGATGAGATTAATCACATTTAAATGGAGGTAGATGTTTACTAGAAATTGCAATCTCAAGAAATGCTCGGGGGCTTAAAAGGGATAGAAGTGAAAGAATAAATAATGAAATACTTAGAAGATCTTATATTTAGAGTTCAAAGTAAATATGATGAAAATCTAAAAGAATTTAATGATATATTTGATTCCACCGACCCCATGCACTATTAGGAACTGATGGCTTTCAATAATTTCAGTCAATGCTTCTATGATATTTTTAGGCTAGTAATGATAACCTTTTGTCAAGAAATGACTATTTCCTAAATAAATAAATTACCGTAAGAAACTGTCAAAACAAGATTGCGTAAATGTTTAATACAAGAAAATAGATCATTTATTAGGATGCTGATAGAAAAATATTAAACTCTTCATGAAGCTAATCCTGTTCAAATAAAATACATTAAAAATTGTCTTGATTCATAATAGTTGATAGATAAATGAGGTAAAATACATAAGGTTTTTGATTTGCTGCTTAAATATCTAGAAGTTTATACTTAAAACTATGAAATAGCTTAGATTGTAGATAAATTGTATGATATCAAAAGCAATTATCATGAAGAGAAGGAACTGATTAGTGAAGATATCCTAAAAGCTAATCAAATCATGCTTGAAGGATTAATAAATTCTTCAATGGGTAATTCAATGCTTGTTATTAAGAATAAAAGATAACTCAATAAAAGAACGAATGAAAGAACATAGCTCAAATTGATCAGAGAACTGATTGAGAAATAACTGAACAGAGAATTTTTATAGAAAAAAAAGGAATTAGATGAAAATTTAGGGATTGAGGATAAAATTCTCAACATTCTCTTTGAATTTTACTACCCTCCTTTTGAAGTGAAGTATAGATGTGAGCTGTTCAAAAATATTTAAGATCTTAAACTACCTTATCCTCTAGTATAAACAATAGACACAGTAAATCAACCAAATATGAAAGATGAATTCCTTTTAAAACTGGAAAAAATAAAGAAGATTTGCTAGAATTCGATAAAACCAATACTCTTTATAGATCCTAACAACTATGCTTAAAAATTAATATCTGCAATCACTGGAAATAGTTTCTTAAGAGTATTAAATGGATAGAGTAAAATGCACGATACTATCATATAAGCACTAGAAAGTGATAGCTCAGTTTTAATAGAAAAAGTTAAAAACTAATTTGATATATACGAATTTGACTAATACTTAAGTGAGCACTGTCTTAGGAATAAATATAGATTTAAGATATACTTTCAGACAATCTTAGAGAACCCTAAGTTTGAAACTACAATATTTGAAAAAACAACTGTAGTCAATATGTATGATTTGCAATTTATCAAAAGAAAGAGATAAAGGCCCATCACAGCAAGAAATAGATCTTAGAAAATATAAGTTTTTCAACCTTAAATTGAGGATGATGAATTTAAAATTCTATCTAAGAAATTCAAGGTTCATAACATGAATTTGTAAAAAGACATAATGTTAGGACAGATATTTGAATAATCAGAAGCTTTTATTAATAAGAATTAGTCGCTCTTGTAATATTTTACTGTGATTGCTCAAAACTAGTAAAAAGTGTTAGAGTAAGAAAAGTTAATAAAAGAAGCTTAAGATGAGATCTAAAAACATAATTGAATGCTAAAATTGAAAATTTTATGATATATATTAATTGATGATTGAGATTGATTATTTATTTTTAACATTATTCAAGACTCAATTAAAATGAAGAATAGGGGTTTTGGGGTTTTGGGG